GAAAGAAGAATGGCGGAGGGACTCTTGATCCCTGAGTCTTAGAATGGATTTTTCCTTTTGTGTCTGACCCAGGATATTTAGACTCCAGTTGTGCCTTGTTTTCCTTTTTTAAAAGTTTGTCTGTCTGTCTATCTATCTATCTATCTATCTATCTATCTATCTATCTATCTATCTATCTATCTATCTATCTATCTATCTATCTATCTACCATCCATCCATCCATCCATCATCTATCTATCTATCTATCTATCTATCTATCTTCTATCCATTTATTTCTCTCTGTTTCTATCTATTTATCTATCCATCCATCCATCATCTCTCTATCTCTGTCATCCATCCATCTATTATCTCCCTATCTCTATCTCTATCATCCATCCATTCATCATCTATTTATCCATCCATCTATTCATCTCTCTATCCATCCATCCATCCATCATCTATTTATCCATCCATCTATTCATCTCTATCCATCCATCATCCATTTACATATCTATCTATTTCTCCATCTCTCCATCCAGCCATCTTTTCTGTCTGTGTATCCATCCCATCTATCTATCTATCTATCTATCTATCTATCTATCTATCTATCTATCTATCTATCTATCTATCTATCTATCTATCTATCTTGTATCCATCTCTCCATTATCTTTCTCTCTGTTTCTATCTCTCTATTTATCTATCCATCCATCATTCTCTCTCTATCTGCCATCCATCCATTCTCTATCTCTATCATCCATCCATCACCTATTTATCCATCCATCTATTCATCTCTATCCATCCATCATCCATTTACATATCTATTTATTTCTCCATCTCTCCATCCATCCATCCTTGTCTGTCTGTGTATCCATCCATCCTATCTATCTTATCTATCTGTCTGTCTGTCTGTCTGTCTGTCTGTCTGTCTGTCTGTCTGTCTGTCTGTCTATCTATCTATCTATCTATCTATCTATCTATCCATCTATCCATCTATCCATCTATCCATCTATCCATTTCTCTGTTTCAGTCTCTCTATTTATCTATCCATCCATCCATCATCTCTCTATCTCTGCCATCCATCCATTATCTATCTCTATCTCTATCATCCATCCATCATCTATTTATCCATCCATCTATTCATCTCTATCCATCCATCATCCATTTACATATCTATTTATTTCTCCATCTCTCCATCCATCCATCTTGTCTGTCTGTGTCTCTCTGTGTATCTATCTATCTATCTGTCTGTCTGTCTGTCTGTCTGTCTGTCTGTCCGTCCGTCCGTCCGTCCGTCCGTCCGTCCGTCCGTCCGTCCGTCCGTCCGTCCGTCCATCCATCCATCCATCCATCCATCCATCCATCTATCTATCCCATTTAAGAACTGCCTCTGTCCCTGGGAGGCGTACAATAAAATATTAAAAGGCTAAAAAACAGTATATAAACTTGGAAAGCATTTTCATCGAAGATACAGAGAAGATGTTAAGTCAGTCACACGGTCGTTAAGCGAATCCGGCTTTTCCCCCATTGACTTTTACTTGTCAGAAGGTCGCCAAAGGGGATCGTGTGATTCCCCCCCCGGGACGCTGCAACCGTCATAAGTACATGCCAGTTGCCAAGCCTCCGAATTCTGATCAGGTGACCCTGGGGAACGCTGCCACGGTCGTAAGTGTGAAAAGGAGACGGCGGTCGCTTTTTCCACGGCCGTTGCCGCTTCAAACGGTCACTGAACGAACGGTCGTAAGCTGAGGGCTGCCTGTCCTGGAATCGCCATCACGTGAATACAGGCAGAAGCGCAACAGTCGGCAGGGCAAGCACCCATCGCCACCGCAAGTTTTTCCAGCACCGTCGTAAAGTTCGAACGGTCGCTAAACGAGCGGTCGTACGTGGAGGGCCACGCCCTCGTCCTCCCCCCCACCCCAGAGCTCCTGTTGGGGAGACGGCCGAGGGCTCCGGGGCTCCCTCTCCCCCCCCTTTTCACACCCGCTTTGCCCGCAGGTGGAGCAGGAGGGGGCGCAGCTGCAGGCGAGGTGCGCCGGGCAGGCGGAGGAGCTGAGCCAGACGGGACAGGAGCTGCAGGAGAGGCGCTCGGAGGGCGAGGCGGAGCTGAGGAGCCTGAAGGAGGCGCTCTTCCAGCTGGAGGACCAGGTGGAGCAGCAGCGGGTGGTCAGGCTGCACGACCAGCAGATCATCGGCCAGATGGAGGGTAGGTGGCGGGCTGGGGGGGGCGGCAGAGGAAGGATGGGTCAGTTGTGGCTTGCCCCCCTCCCTCTTCCTTCCTTCCTTCCTTCCTTCCTTCCTTCCTTCCTGGCTGGTGTGTCCTCACTACAGCCCTGCGAGGTAGGATGGGAGAAAGGGGGCAGCCGGGTCAAGCTCTGCCCTTGGGACCCTGTGCAAACTTGCTTGCTTGCTTTCTCTCCCTCTCCCTCTCTCTCTTTTTCTTTCTTTCTTTCTTTTCTTTCTTTCTTTCTTTCTTGCTTTCTCTCCCTCCCTCTCTTTTTCTTTTCTTCTTTCTCTCCCTCCCTCCCACCCTTTCTCTTTCTTTCCTTCCTTCTCCTTCTCCTTCCCTTCCTCTCTTTCTTTCTCTTTATCTTTCTTTCTTTCTTTCTTTCTTTCTTATTTTCTTTCTTTCTCTTTCTGTCTCTTTCTTTCCCTTTCTTTCTTTCTTATTTTCTTTCTTTCTTTCTCTTTCTGTCTCTTTCTTTCCCTTTCTTTCTTTCTTATTTTCTTTTTCTTTCTCTTTCTTTCTTTCTTTCTTTCTTTCCTTTCCTCCTTTCTTCCTTCCTTTCTTTTTTTCTTTCTTCCTTCCTTTCTTTATAATAATAATAATAAAGTTGGAAGGGACCTTGGAGGTCACCTAGTCCAACCCTCTGCTCAGTCAGGAAACCCTATACCATTTCAGACAAATGGCTGTCCAGTCTCTTCTTAAAAACTTCCAGTGTTGGAGCATTCACCGCTTCTGGAGGCAGGTCGTTCCACTGGTTAATTGTTCTCACTGTCAGGAAGTTTCTCCTTAATTCTAGGTTGCTTCTCTCCTTCATTAGTTTCCATCCGTGGCTTCTTGTCCTGCCTTCAGGCGCTTTGGAGAAGAGCTTGACTCCCTCTTCTTTGGGGCAGCCCCTGAGATATTGGAACCCCGCTATCCTGTCCCCCCTCGTCCTTCTCTTCATTAAACTAGACAGACCCAATTTCAGCAACCATTCCTCAAATGTTTTAGCCTCCAGTCCCCTGATCCTCTTTGTTGCTCTTCTCTGCACTCTTTCTAGAGTCTATCTATCTTTTTCTTTCTTTCTTTCTTTCTTTCTTTCTTTCTTTCTTTCTTTCTTTCTTCCTTCCTTCCTTCCTTCCTTCCTTCCTTCCTTCCTTCCTTCCTTCCTTCCTTCCTTCCTTCCTTTTTCTCTTTTTCACCCTCTCTCACTTTTTCTCCCTCCTGCTCACCTCCTTCCTCTTTCTCCTTTTCAATTGTGATGTTTGTAAAGTCATCATATGACCTCCCATTTTATAAACCTTTCTGAGGTGATCATTAAATGAATCACTATTGTTATTAAATGATTATGATAATAATGATATCATTATCACCACAGTCATTAAGCAAAGCCATTATTTGCAGTTTTGCCAAAAACCAGAAGTAAACCGTAGTGTTCAAAAAAACCCTTTTAAATTATGGTAACATCTATTCAAAGTTGTCTGTTTAGGACAGACCCTCAAAAGCTACTCACTCACAACCTGGATTCAAAGTTATGACAGTCCCCCTCTTTTCTGCAGTCATGTGACCGCATTCCAGGTGCTCAGTAAGCAGATTGCATTTATGCCTGTTTGCAAGGTCCCACAGTTAGAACAATTAACCAGTGGAACTCCTTGCCTCCAGAAGCGGTGAATGCTCCAACACTGGAGGTTTTTAAGAAGAGACTGGACAGCCATTTGTCCGAAATGGTCTAGGGTTGCCTGCCTGAGCAGGGGGTTGGACTAGATGACCTCCAAGGTCCTTCCAACTTTATTATTATTATTATTATTATTATTATTATTATTATTATTATTATTATTATTATTATTATTATTATTATTATTCACGAGGCCACGACTTATGGAAATTTTCCAATTTCCAGTGGAAAAACACCACTGCAAACAATAGGTTTGCTTAAGTACCGCTGCAAAAAAGTCATAAAATTGGGTGCCATCAGTTGGCGATCCGCTTAATGACCACCACTACTTACAACTTTATTCAAGATCAGACCTCAGCTCTCTTGATGAGACAAGATTGCCACCTGCTGGCCGGTGCTATGCATGTTCATGATGGAGCTGAAATTATTGATTTACGAGCGGAGCGTAAAATTATTTTTTTTACAGGATCCCAAATGTCCATTTTGGATACTGTGGATCCTGCCAAATAAATACATTTTATTTTGCCAAGTAAATACATTTTATTTTGCAAAATAAATACTTTTTATTTTGCCAAGAAAATAAATTTTATATTGCCAAATGAATACATTTTACTTTTCCAGATAAATACATTTTATTTTGACAAATAGATACATTTTTGTTTTGTAAAATAAATACATTTCAATTTTGCCAAATAAATACATTTCATTTTTGCCAAATCAATACATTTTATTTTTTGCCAAATATACATTTTATTTTGCCAAATAAATACATTTTATTTTGCCAAATAAATACAATATGTTTTGCCAAATAAATACATTTATTTTGTAAAAAATACATTTCCTTTTGTAAAATAAAGACATTTTATTTTGTAAGATAAATACATTTCATTTTTTGCCAGATAAATACATTTTATTTTGCAAAATAAATACTGTTTATTTTGCCAAATAAATTTATTTTGGTCGAGAGCAGATTGTTCCTCCACAAAAGGGCATCAGATTCTAATAGTTGGAAGGGACCTTGGAGGTCATCTAGTCCAACCCCCTGCTCAGGCAGGAAACCCTATACCATTTCAGACAAATGGCTGTCCAATCTCTTCTTAAAAACCTCCAGTGTTGGAGCATTCACAACTTCTGGAGGCAGGTTGTTCCACTGGTTAATTGTTCTAACTGTCAGGAAGTTTCTCCTTAGTTCCAGGTTGCTTCTCCCTTTGGTTAGTTTCCATCTGGTGTTTCTGGTCCTGCCTTCAGGCGCTTTGGAGAATAGCTTGACTCCCTCTTCTTTGGGGCAGCCCCTGAGATACTGGAACACTGCTATCATGTCCCCCCTCATCCTTCTCTTCATTAAACTAGACAGACCCAATTCCAGCAACCCGTTCCTTATATGTTTTAGCCTCCAGTTCCCTAATCATCTTTGTTGCTTTTCTCTGCACTCTTTCCGGACTCTCAACAGTTTTTTTACATCGTGGTGACCAAAACTGGATGCCGTATTCCAAGTGTGGCCTTACCAAGGCATTGTAAAGTGGTATTAACCCTTTACATGATCTTGATTCTCTCCCTCTGTTAATGCAGCCCAGCACTGAGTTGCCCTTTTTGGCAGCTGCAGCACACGGCTGGCTCCTATTTAAATGATTATCCACTAGGACTCCGAGGTCCCTCTCACAGTTACTACTATTGAGCAAGGTACCCCCTATACTATACCTGTGCATTTGGTTTTTCTTGCCTAACTGTAGAACCTTACTTTTTTCACCACTGAAAAAAGGTATTCCACGTGCATATTCCAAGCCATTGTAAAGGGCTATTCACCCGATCTTGATTCTATAAGTCTTTTGTCCTTCTGAGTCTGGCTGTCGTGTTTCTCACTCCTTTTGATCCTTTGCTAGGATGAAATAACCTTTTTAAAATTCTTCTGAATGCTTCTTACCCCATGCCCGGGAGAAAAAAAGAACAAAATCTTGCTCCAAATGGTGTACAGTGAAAGCAGCATGTTGAATCTTTTATTTATAAACAGTTCAGAGTCACTTAACTAGTGAGATGGACAGTGTATAAATTGGATTAACAAATAAAATGTAATACAGGTAGTCCTCAAGTTACGACAGTTCGTTTAGTGACCGTTCAAAGTGACAACGGCACCCAAAAAAGTGCCTTAGGACCGTTTTTCGCCCTTAACGACCGTTGCAGCATCCCCAGGATCACGTGATCAAAATTCGAACACTTGGCAACTGATTCAGACTTATGACGGTCGCCATGTCCTGGGGTCACATGATCCCCTTTTGTAACCTTCCCAGTTGGCGTCTGACAAAGTCAGTGGGGCAACTGGATTCACTTAACGACTGGGTGATTCATTTAACGGCCGCACTGATTTGCTTAACAAGTGTGACCAGAAAGGTCGTAAAATGGGGCTAAAAACTCACTGAACTGCTGCCTCATTTAGCAACAGAAATGATGATGATGATGATGATCATCATCATCATCATCACCACCTTACTTGGAACTGCCTATATATACTCAGACGTTACCTTAATAGCTCTTAGGTGCTTGATTAGGACTTGAATTGTTAAGTTTTTAACCGGTCCCAGACTGCGAATCGAATTGAAGATTAAATCTATAATAATAATAATAATAATAATAATAATAATAATAATAATAATAATAATAATAATAATAATAATAAAAAAGCACACAGCCAATAAAAGGGGAGGAGTAAAAAATAATAAAGAGGATAAACAATACTGCAGCCACGGCCCTATCGGTTAATATAATAGTAATAGTAGTAGTAGTAGTAGTAGTAGTAGTAGTAGTAGTAATTATTATTTATTATTATTATTAATAATAATAAATATTATTATTATTATTTATTATTATTATTATAAAGTTGGAAGAGACCTTGGAGGTCACCTAGTCCAACCCCCTGCTCAGGCAGGAAACCCTAGACCATTTCGGACAAATGGCTGTCCAGTCTCTTCTTAAAAACTTCCAAGGTTGGAGCATTCACAACTTCTGGAGGCAAGGAGTTCCACTGATTGATTGTTCTAACTGTCAGGAAGTTTCTCCTTAGTTCTAGGTTGCTTCTCTCTTTGGTTAGTTTCATTGTTGGTCGTAAGTGGAGGATGACTTGTGATTCTTTGAAAACCTTCGGCACAAATACTTTCCGTAGGCTGAGGAAAAAAACCAATTAGATCTCTGCATTTTTCTGCAAGATCAGCCAAAAACTCCAGGAGAAGCGAGGCACTTCAGAGATTTTAATTCTTTTTTAAAAGTCTTTAATTAAAAAACCTCCTGGGTTGCATAAACAGAGGCATAGAATCAAGATCACGCAAAGTATTAGTACCGCTTTATAAAACCCTGGCAAGACCACACCTGGAATACTGCAAGCAATTTTGGTCACCATATCACAAAAAAAGATGTTGAGAGTTTGGAAAAAGTTCAGAGAAGAGCAACTAAGATGATTCAAGGCCTGGAGACTGAAACATACGAAGAACGGCTGCAAGACTTGGGTTTGGCTAGTCTAAAGAAAAGAAGAAATAGGGGAGACATGATAGCAGCATTCCAGTATCTGAGGGGCTGCCACAAGGCAGAGGGGGTCATGTTATTCTCCAAAGCACCAGAGAGCAGGAAGAGAAACAATGGTTGGAAACTGATCAAGGAGAGAAGCAACCTGGATTTAAGGATAAAGTTTCTAACAGTTAGGACAATCAACCAGTGGAACAGCTTGCCACCAGAAATCGTGGGTGCTCCATCACTGGAGATTTTTAAGAAGAGACTAGACAGTCACCTGTCTGAGGTGGTATATGTCCTCCTGCTTGAGCAGGGGGCTGGACTAGAAGACCTCCATGGTCCCTTCCAGTTCTATTCTATTCTATTCTATTCTATTCCGAATTCTATTCTACCCTATTCTACCCTATCCCATCCCATCCCATCCTATTCTATTCCATTCCATTCCATTCCATTCCATTCTATATTCTATTCTATTCTATTCTATTCTATTCTATTCTATTCTATTCTATTCTATTCTATTCTATTCTATTCTATTCTATTCTACCCTATCCTATCCTATCCTATCCTATCCCATCCCATCCTATTCCATTCCATTCCATTCTATCTTGAGGGAGGATGGATGTCCTGCCAACCCCTGCCTGCCTTAGGAAGTGGAGATATGTTTATATAAATTATGCTTCCACTTTCTTTATTCATTGTATGTGTGTGTCTGGGGGGGGGGAGATGACCTTTTGAGGTTGGGCCTCCGTCCCCTTCGGCTACCTTGTTCTCAAAATGCTTTTTTCTTCCCAGATAACCTGCTCAAATTGGAAGACCAGAAGCTGGAACTGGAGAGGCAACTGAAGATGCTGAATAAACGAATTAAGGTGAGGTTCCGATGGAAGAGAATATCTGTGGCTCAGGTTTGAACGGTGGGGGGTCCCTGGTGCTCTCTGGGTGGGTTCCTGGCAGACATTTCATCATCAGAGCTAGAATGGTTTGTGGAAAAGGAGGGAGGGAGGGAGGGAGGAGGAGGAGGAGGAGGAGGAGGAGGAGGAGGAGGAGAACTGTGGGGTCCTTGGTGCTCTCTAAGCTGGGTGGTTTTCCTGCAGACGTTTCATGACCCAGCTAGGTAACTTCATCAGTGCTAGGAGGGAATGGGGTTTGTGCTCTGTTTATCCTACGTTGCCCTATCAGTGTTGTGTGGGAGTGCTGCTTTCTTCTTAGGTCCTTGATTAGGCTGTTGTGTACTGTAGCTACACAACAGAGAGCAAAGCCCCATCTCTTTCAGCCCTGATGATGTTACTTAGCTGGGTCATGAAAAGTCTGCAAGAAAACCACCCAGCTCAGAGAGCATCAAGGATCCCACAGCCCTCCTCCTCCTCCTCCTCCTCCAATTGCACTCCCTTCTAGCACTGATGAAGTTACCTAGTTGGGTCATCAAACGTCTGCAAGAAAGCCACCCAGCTCAGAGAGCACCCAGGTGAGGTTCTCTGTTGGGGAATCAGCAGCAGCAGCTTGTGGGGAGATTAACCCACTTGATCAAAGATCTGGAAGCCCCCACCCCAATCCCTGCAGATGCCTCAGGCAAATACCAGCTGCACCCACCACCCTGACCGTTTCTGACCCTTCCTCCCTCACCCCGGCTGCTCTTGTGGGCGGGAGGCAACCCCGTCTGGAAGTCAAAGCCACGGGATTAAGGGAAAGAAACAGGAAAATGTTAGCGTGCCAGATAAAACCAAAAGCTTATCAAACTGGCTGCAGTCCGAGTCTTTTCAGACAGTTGGGGAGGACCAGAGATTCCTGGGCTCTCGTTTACTGAAAACCTTTGTGTGGCTGCCCAACTCGACTGTGATTTTCTGGGAAAAATCGCTGCAAAACCCAACAGAGCCTTGCAGAAAGAATGCAAAAGCAGAACACGTCAGCTAAACTCCTGGCAATAAAAACAGGAATAACAATAACAACAACAATAATAATACACTGCACTGAAGTAAAAAAAAATGGCATCCACAGGGGGAAAAAACATAAGAGGTAATTAGAATATTTTTAACCTGGGATCTTAGCCCAATATTTCCCAACCTGGACCGCTTTAATTCTGGGAGTAGAAGTCCATGCAAATTCTTCAGATGGCCAAGTTTGAGAAGCGCTATTCTAGATAGAAACAGAGAACACCGACGGCAGAAAAATTCTTTTTTCATTAATGTAATTAATTAATCCCTTTTAATTAATTAAATTAATTCTTTTAATGAATTTAATTAATTCTTTTTAATTAATTTAATTAATTTTTAAATTAATTATTTGTAATCAATTTATTTTTAAATTATTATTTTAATTAATTAATTTAATTAATTAATTTAATTAATTCTTTTTAATCCATTTAATTAATTCTTTTTAATTAATTAATTTTTAAATTATTATTTTAATTAATTTAATTAATTCTTTTTTAATTAATTCTTTTTAATTAATTAATTTAATAATAATAATAATAATAATAATAATAATAATAATAATAATAATAATAATAATAATAATAATTCTTCCCAGGACATCTGCCTATCCCAGGTCCTGGGTAAGGACTCGATAGGTAGACAAAACGCCAAATCCAGTCTGAACATGTGGCTGACTGTGCGATGATCCATAATAATAATAATAATAAAGTTGGAAGGGACCTTGGAGGTCATCTGGTCCAACCCCCTGCTCAGGCAGGAAACCCTATACCGTTTCATTAATTCTTTTTAATTAATTACTTTAATTAATTCTTTTTAATTAATTTATTTTTAATTAATTTATTTTTAAATTATTATTTTTAGATTCTAATTATGGGTGGTCCTCAGCTGAGCCCAAAATTTATGTTGCTAAGTGTGAGAAATTGGTTCAGTGAGGGAGTTTTGCCCCGTTTTACGACTTTTCCGGCCACGGCTCTTAAGTGAATCACTGTTGAATTAGTAAGACCGTCGTTAAGTGAACATGGCTTCCCCCCCCCCGTTGCCTTTGCTTGCCAGAAGGTCTCAAAACGGGATCACAGGACCCCGGGGACACTGCGACCGTCATAACTTTGAACCAGTTCTCAAGTATCCAAATACAAATGATGTGGATGCTGCAACGGTCGTTAAATGTGAAAAATGGTCCTTTTTCCAGTGCTGCTGTAACTTTGGACGGTCACTAAATGGACCGTCCTAAGTCAAGAACTACCAGTATTTTAATTTAATTTTAGTTTAGTTTTAATTTTTGTCCGACTGTGGACATGTGCTTATGCTAAGCGTGTTTCAACTCAGTTACCGATGGATTTAATTCCCAGAATTCCTAGCAGTGGCAATACTGGCTAGGGAATTCTGGGAGCTGTCCAGATAGTCCTTGACTTACAGCTGTTCATTTAGTGACCATTCGAAGTTACAACGGCACTGAAAAAAGTGACTTATGATCAGAATCAGAATACAGCTGGAAGGGACCTTGGAGGTCTTCTAGTCCAGCCCCCTGCTCAAGCAGGAGACCCCCTAGAGTAGACCATTCCAGACATTTTTCCCAATGACGACCGTTGCAGCATCCCCCTGGTCACGTGATCAAAGTTCAGACGCTTGGCCACCGCTTCATATTTATGACGCAGTCACGTGACCTTCCGACAAGCCAAGTCAATGGGGGGGGGAGGCCCGATTCGCTTTAACGACCCGTGACTCACTTAACAGCGGCTGTGACACACTTAACCACGGTGGCCGGAAAGCTCGTCCAGCGGGGCCAAACTCACGTCTCAAGCGTCTCGCTTAGCCACGGAGATTTTGGGGGCGCCGTTGCGGTCGTAAGCCGAGGACTTCCTGCGTCTGGTCGGCCGATTTCGTCCCGCAAAGGCTAGCCAGTCCTGACCCTCCCTTCCCTCCCTCCCTCCGCCCCCGCAGGAGGACACGGAGGAGTGGCGCCGCTTCCAGGCCGACCTGCAGACCGCCGTGGTGGTGGCCAACGACATCAAATGCGAGGTGCAGCAGGAGCTGCGGGCCGTCAAACGGCGCCTCCTGGAGGAGGAGGAGAAGACTGCACGGCTGCAGAAGGAGCTGGAGGAAGTCCAAGGAGGACGCAGCCGGTGAGGGGCTGGGGGGGGCAGCGGCAGCGGTGGGGAGGGGTCCTAACCTCCCCCCTCCCCGGCAGCCTGGCTTGCGGTGGGGAGGGGTACCTTCCTCTCTCCCCAGCCTTGGGACCCACTCTGCATCGCTCTCTCTCGCAGGCTTTGGCGAAAGGCACTGTGGCATTTGTGTGTGCAAAAAAGCGTCCTTGTTACACAACTGTTTGTACTGTACTGCACGCTGGGCAGGAACGTGGTGGGTGGGTGGGTTGGTTGATTCTTTCTTTCTTTTTATTCGTTTATGTATTCATTTATTTTTTTGTTTATTTGCTGATTCATTTATTCATTCTTTTATTCATTCATTCTTTATTTTTTCTTTCTTTTGTCATTTCTTTATTCATTTATTCCGTTGTTTATTTACTTATTCACTTATTCATTCTTTTATTCGTTCCTTCTTTCTTTATTTTTTCTTTCTTTTATTTAGTCATTTGTTCCTTTATTTATTCATTTATTCATTCATTCATTATTTATTTATTTATTTTTTCTTTCTTTTTTCTTGCTTTTATTTAGTCATTTATTCTTTTATTTAATTATTCAATCATTCATTGCTTACTTATTTTTCTTTCATTTAGTCATTCTTTTATTTATTGAATTATTCATTTTTTCATTTGTTCACTTATTTATCTGTCTATTTGTAAAATTTATTAACCAGCCATCTTGTCACACAGGAACTCTGTGTCATGTTCTCAGCCACTCGGGTTTTATAAAAATCAGAATAACAGAGTTGGAAGGGACCTTGGAGGTCATCTAGTCCAACCCCCTGCTCAGACAGGAAACCCTGTACCATTTCGGACAAATGGCTGTCCAGTCTCTTCTTAAAAACCTCCAGTGTTGGAGCATTCACAGCTTCTGGAGGCAGGTGGTTCCACTGGTTAATTGTTCTCACTGTCAGGAAGTTTCTCCTTAGTTCCAGGTTGCTTCTCTCCTTGGTTAGTTTCCATCCGTTGCTTCTTGTCCTGCCTTCAGGCGCTTTGGAGAATAGCTTGACTCCCTCTTCTTTGGGGCAGCCCCTCAGATACTGGAACCGATGAATGGGTGTGCTCCAGAGAGGAAGCAAATGATGGGGGACATTGGAAGGGAAAGTTACGCAGATGTTTTTGGAGCTAAGGGGGGTCTTAGGTTGGAGAAGAAGACATGGCCGCAGCCTCCCAAGTTGTAGAGGGCCTTTGTAGAAGATGGGGCAGATGCGTTGAGATTGTTCTAGAAGACAAGAAAGGGCTCAAACCACAAGGAAGATGGCTGGCTGGTTGCGGGTGGATGGTTGGATGGATGGAGAGAGGGAGGGAGGGAGGCAGGGAGGGACGGACAGATGGAGGGATGGATGGAGAGGGAGGGATGGAGAGAGAGATGGATGGATGGATGGAGGGATGGAGGGACAGACATGGAGGGATGGATGGAGAGAGGGAGGGATGGAGGGACAGAGAGAAGGATGGAGAAAGAGATGGAGGGAGGGATGGTGGGATGAAGAGAGGGAGGGATGGAGGGACAAACAGATGGAGGGATGGATGGAGAGGAGGGATGGAGGGATGGATGGAGAGTGGAGGGACAGACGGATGGATGGACAGATGGAGAGATTAGATAAATGGAGGGATGGAAGGTTGGATGGGGGGAGGGATGGGTGGCAAAATTACCTCCCCAAACGAGGCGGGAAGAAGAGCATCCGATCCGTCCATCTCCGAGGACGCGCCTTCCGTTTAGGAGCCTCGCTTGGTCTGCCCGTCTCCGTCCGTCCGCTCGATTTCCCTCGCCTTTCCGTCTGTCAGGCTGTCGTGTGTTGTTTTTTGTCGGTTGAATATCGTGGAATTGCCGTCGTTTAATTCACAGGGAGGGCTTCGGTTTCCTTTTGAAACTGACCGGGGCTCCTCCTGTGAGCGCAGTAAAAACCTGCAGGCTTTTCAAGCCTGCGTTGGGGGAATTTGAACCTCGGACCCAAAAGCAAAACACAAGTAATTCTCGACTTAATGACCTGCAACCGGGATGAGAATTTCTGTTCTTAAGCAAGGCTGTTCGTCATACGGGTCTTGCCTGATTTTACGACCTCTTTTAAATTAAGTGAACCGCTTCCGTCGTTAAGCGAACCGCACAGTCGTTAA